AGGATCGTGAGCCCAGCTAATTGATGCGTCAATGAAAATGTCTCATTTGTGGAATTTTTTTTAGGTTCATCAACTGACCGAAAATATGCGAATCTTAAGCTTAGGGAATGATAAAGTGACAAAAATGTATGCTCACTTTTTAATGCGCACAGGGAATGGTGATCATCCTCGTATTATTCCTAATGAACATGATGCGGTCAGATTGCCACGTGAGATTTGTACGGATAAACCAATTGATGAGTTGATTTCGTTGGCGTTTCGTGGACGTTTCATGATGCGTCAAACCATGTGTGGGATACAGAATATTTTTTGTTTTCGATTAATTTAGTGTCCTGCTAATGACGATACTGATTTTACTAACAACTGTGTTCTTTATGACTTCCTTTGGGAGATGCGTGACCTTTTCAGCGTTGATTATCCTGATTCAGATGATACCGGGCTTGGTATTGAGCGGAAGTTCTTAAACTCTCTCGATGGATCTGACCTTCCACCTCACAAGCTGCGCTTAAAAATTGGTGCGTCTGTTATGCTTTTGCGAAATTTGTCACCGAAGCAAGGACTTTGCAACGGTACAAGGTTGATTCTTAAGAATATCGTTAATGATGATTCGTTGGAAGTGACAATAATGCACACGGGTAAAACAACACCGATCCCCAAGATTGATCTGACAAGCGATGGTGAGACAATTGGGTTAAATGGTTTAGGAGACAATTTTCACTCCGCCTTGCTTTTGTTATAACGATTAACAAGTCGCAAGGACAAATTGTATCCCGTGCTGGGGTTTGGCTACGCAAACAGGTTTTTGCGCATGACCAACTGTATATTGTTTTGTCGCATGTTGGTCGTCCCAACAAACCGGTTTTTAACGAAGAAAAAATTATATAACGAAGAATATTGTATATTATGCGACATTTAGGATGAGTCCTTTTTTTTTTCATCGAGCCTTGACATTCCAAATAATTTTGTCGTATTCTTTCTTTGCAGGCGACTCTCAAATGCCGCATAAGTATGACACTTGTGCTAAGGGAAAAACAATAAGAAACAATAATACCACTCAATATGATACGAATGGTCCGTCAAAAGCTAGAGCCGAACATTCGAAGAGGTCGAAGAAAAGTGGAATTAATGAGAGGTCTGTGAAACTTAGAAGGAACATTATCGGGACGATCATCCTGTTTTTGGTGAGGTTGAATGTCGATGTTCGCAAGGGAATACCCTTGATGATGCTGAAAACATGGTTGTGGAGGAGGTGGTGACGATTGTTGTGCCGAAGGGGATGGTTCGCGTAGAGGCCAGCCGGGTAGGCCTATTAACCTTACATCTGTCGATGATAAGGATAATAACGTTACGGACGATTCGAAAAAGGATTGTGTTGAATCTATATTCAAAAGGAGAAAGAGTCGTGACGCGAAAACTAATCTTTTGGATTCCCCCGAAGCGTCGGAGTCTACCTTGGCTGATAATCAGGTGGGACGACAACATGTTGTTGATGAAACGAGAACTCAGATTATGCGAGCGCTGAATACGCTCCTTGATGATGTACTTTCATCTGTTCTGTTTTGTGCACCGCTCGCTGGACGTGAACGTGTTCATGATTCGTGTTCAAAATTTCAACGCAGTGGACGCAAAAAAGATGTTTGCACCGCATCGCAACCACAAAATTATCCGGGGGTTATTGTGGTGTCCGATGATAACGATGCACCCACAATCCGCACTCCGAATCTTCGCGCTTACCTTGCTAGATGGTTTGATGATGCGAAGAAGGTTGACATCCAAAATGTATTGACTGAAGTGCTTTTTGAAATGTTTGTAAAAAGTGTCACGTCATAAAAGATGAACGAATATGGGAAAACTTCCTGGAGTGGAAAAAAGCGAACTCACTGATTTACGGTTGGAACGACGATTCCCTCTTCCTTCATACCCGTTGAATCTTCCCGATTTGGAGGCTTCTTCCATTTTGCAATCACTTTTGACCGATGAATTCATGACTCTCTCTAATGAGGAGATTACTAGGATGACATTAGATTTGTCACACTGTCCGACAGAAGGGACCATTCCCCAACCCTTTCACAGATATGCACGGATACAACAACTTCTAAAAATGATTCCTCCCTTGGTTTCTTCTTCCACTCCTCATTATGCTCCGGTCCATAGACTCCCCCTTTAAGCAGCATCTCCTCCAAATTTTCAACATTTTGTGGATTATGCTTCACCCTCCAATATGTCAACGCAGATTGTCACCACTTCTACTGTTGTTTCTGCTTTGCCGACCGCTACGGTTACTCCGTCTCTTGTCAGTTGTGTTGTGCCCGCTCATACGCCATCAAGAGACCATCTGCATGTCCATACAGGACCATTGGAACAACCAAGTTTTTCTAATTTTAACATAACCATGTATGACTCTGTTGAATCTTGGTCCGAAAAAGACACTTTCGCACCTGTCTTATCTTGACAGTTTTCATAGGGTGCAAGATATTGTGGAAATAGCAGCGAAATTTAATACGAGTATGAACACTTGGAGATGCGTGGATGTTGCAATTCATCTCGATGACAATCGGTAAAGACAGACTCAATTCGGAAATTTCGAGGAGTATCGTCGCAAAGTGTTGCAACGAGTTTCTTCATTGCAGTGAAGGAAGTTGATTGGTCTTATAAGAGAGATAGAAAGTCAAAGGTGTTGATTTAGCGGTTGTCCAGGCATTGCCTTAATGACAAGTTTTTAGATGGTCGTCTTCAGTTTCAATTACATAATTGCCCCTATAAGAGAGATGGGAAGGAGAAGAAAAATAAATAAGGGGAGAGAGAGAGAGAGAGAGAGAGAGAGAGAGAGAGAGAGAGAGAGAGAGAGAGAGAGAGAGAGAGAGAGAGAGAGAGAGAGAGAGA